ATTTTTTAATAATTTTTGAAAATATTTAATTTTTTTGAATTTCTTTGAATTTTTTGAAATTTTTAGAATTTTTAAGAAATTTTATTGTAATGTTGACCTAACAATTAATAATATGACGTTGACTAGACTTTTTTGATACGTGTCAGTATCTTATCGGATGTTCGTGCCACCTTAGCAAGGTTGACTGATAATATTAGCTTTAGATTCCAAAATAGATGATAAAATAAAAGTTAAAGTATCAAAGTAACAAAATTATTTTTAGATACCAAGTTAACAAAAAGTATATAGTTCGGAGACTATTTTTATATTTAACCTTAATAGTAAAAATGAAATCTAAACTCAAATTTTAAATGACATGAAACACACTATATACATTTATCCACAATTAATTAAGTTAATGAATGTCATAGATTTATGAATATCTAAGTTCATGAATGGTCAAAGTATAGATTAATGTTAGATTAGATGTTAATTAAGCTTTGATGACATGTAAAAATAAAAAAAAGAAGAAGCTGACATGGCAGTTAAAAGGATCCAAACGTGACAAAAATGAAACTAACGTTACAATGTCCATGTGTCACAAAAATAAACAACAAAGGATAAAAATATACGTATGCTGTATATATACTATTTCATGTCGTCACTTCATGATCACTGTTAAACTATAACAAGAGCATGTACCATAATAAAAGCGACCTTCAATTTGTTGCAAGAATATATATATATATATATATATATAGAGAGAGAGAGAGAGAGAGAGAGAGAGAGAGAGAGATAAAGAGAGAAAAATCCATTTATATTGGTGTAAGAGTTATATATTTTTATTTTTGAATCAAATAATTAAGTATAATTGTTATGAATTTAATTTTGATCTAATGATAAAAAAATGTGCTGGACTAGCTAAGCCATATTAAACCGGAATTGAGGAAGATTTTTTTAGTTCACAAATTAATTTAGCTAATACCATTTTATATAGTATTTCGGTTTCAGTGTGATCCCTTGCTATTTTATGTAATTTTTATGTATTGAATTGAACCTATAATGAGATGGATCTGTTTTGTTACAGCGGAAGGTCCCAGCCCTTGGCCATATTTAAAAGCAAAGGAACTTGGCCCATTAAACAGAGCTTGCATTCTAACCAAAAACACTATTTCAGCCTCCACCTTATTCCTTGAGTTTCAGGCACCCGAATCGAGACCCCACCCACCAGCCACCACACCGAACAGCTTCGGCGGCGCTTCCTTACCCGGGCTGGAAGTTCCGGCAGCCACCAATCTTTAGGCTTCAAGTCTCAAGGTTAGTTTTGTTGTTTGCCTCTTTTGCTAGTGACTAGAAGTCAATTTATTGAGCTCCTACAATGTGTATATGTATGTCTGTATATATATTATGAGAATGGATCAACTTATATTAGTGTAAAATTAAAAAATTTTACATTTTTTTAATTATTGATTCTAATAAATTTAAAGAATGAGAGAGACGAGTGCAAAAGAGAAACAGGGCTTAACCTCATCTCTTAAATATATTGAAATCAAATAATTAGAGAAAGGTGTAAAACGTTTTTAGTGTAACTTGATCCTCCTCTTATGGATATGTATATATAAATATAAAGAGGGATTACTTGCACATTGTAAAACTAAAAATGTTTTACACATTTTTTTAACGTTCGATTTTAATAGATTTAAAGAATTAGAGAAACAAGTAAAAATAAAAAACAATGGTTTAATATCATCCCTAAAGTATATTAAAATCAATAGTTAAAAAATGTGTAAAATTAAAAAGGAGTTACATTACATAAATTGATCTTATACATACATACATATATATATATACATATATATATACATACTAGCTTGTCACCCGTGCTATGGATGGGTTATTTTTATGTAATTATACATAAAAATATTATTTTTAATAAAAATATAAAATTTATATATGCAAATATCCAAATGATATCTAAGAGTAACTCATTATCATATGAATACATGTAATTAAAAAGTTATATGAGAAAAAAAAATCAAATTAAACATCTTTTCATGTGTGATCAAATTTGTCTTAATTAATTTCAGATTTCAAAGTGATTTTATCTACTTTTTAAATCAATTAAAGGAAATGCATGATTCCTTTTAATAATTATTCATCTTTTTATAAATTTGAATACACACATATTAGACATAAAATTGTATCATTAAAAAATTATATTGCTATTGAAACTAAAAAATTTAATAATTTAGGACATTGTAAGATTTGTTTTTGAATATATATATATATATATATATATTGAAGTATAATATGAATCAGAGATTTATTATATATGTTTGAGAAAAAAAGAACCAAAGATTTACTATAAATGTGTGAAAGAGAAAAAACCAAATATTTATTATATATGTATGAACTTTAAATTGAAAACCCAATATGAGTTCAAATAATATCAAATTGGTTAAACTTTTTGTTGAATCACATACAAAAATGAAAAATAAAATTGTAAATAAAAATAAGTGAACAATAATCTCTTTCCTTATTTGTTACAAATGAAATACTTGATAATGAAATAAATAAAGAGAAAAGTAGACTTTTAATAATTTTTTTTGACAAACTGAATATTGAATTTATTAAAGAGATAGAAACACATAAGTACCAAATATTAATAATAAATCAAAAATCATTTAAAGGAGTCTATAAAAAAACTTTTGATAAAAAAAAATTTATTATCATTTACATTCTTTTTTAACATTATAACTTTTTGTTTAAATATGAAAACCTTGCAACTATAAAATTGAAAAGAAAAGATTAATTATCAATTAATTTTCCTAGTAAAATATCTAAGAACACTAAACCAAAACTGAAATAATAAAAAATAAAATAATCATAATTAAAATTAATCTAATAATTCTAACTTGAATAATCAAGGAAAATATATTTACAAAAATATAATACTAAATAAAAAAAATAAAAGAATATGTCACAAAAAATAATAATACTCATAGAGTTATAATCTTACAACACCTTTTTAGAGCCTATTATAAAATGTAAAAAATTGGTGTAAGATATCAAAAAGTAATACCATTATTTAAACAATGTATTAAGGATAAAAAAGAATAGAAGAATACAAATGAAAATTTTTTTACATCAGTTGTTGTATGTGTCAACTTCATCATATCACTATTATATATATAAACAACATACATACTCATAAATGTGAATATCAAGAATTGAGCTATCAATCAATTACATGTCATTATGAAAAATTTTTGTCTCCTTAATTACATATTATTATAGAGTTTAAATTTTAAATATATAATTTGACCTATCAATTCTTTCTATTTTTATAAACAAGCATTCAAAATTAAGGTAATGTAATTATAAAAAATTTTAGAGAATTCAAAACAAAATTAAAGCTATCAAATGCGAGGCCAATAAGACTTTTATTGTAAAAAAAAAAATAGAAAGAAATATTCATACTTAAAAAAACAAAAACTAAATTAAAACCACCAAATAAGTAACAATTTTTTTTTGGATGATAAATGAAAAAATATTAAAGATTAAGTTTGTAATTTTAATTTTGAAATTTTAATTGTTGATTATAAACAAAACACGACATCATTTGATACTATTCATGTATACCCTACATACATAGACTTATTCTGTTTTTTTTCAAGTTAATATATTGAAATTATCCTTTATGTGTATGTATGTATGTATGTATGTATATATATATATATATATATTAGATTATTCTAGCAAATTAATATGTTTATATATTCATAAAAAAAGATTAGTAAATACGTAAAGTTATTCATGATTAATTAGCTTTCTATTTAAATTTAAATTTTTTGAATTAATAATCAAATTAATTATAACTAATTTATAGGAAGCAAGAATATTGGTATTTAAACATAATTAATTTAGCCATAATATGTTATTTTAAATTAATTATATAATCAAATTCATTAATTATATAACATTACCTATTAAATTCCACATTTCAAAAATTTAACTTATCTACATAAGATTATTACCTTTTATGTTAAATGTTTTGACTTTTATATATTTATGTAAGATATAAGATTACATAAGATATAATTTAAAAATTGAATATTATAATTGGAAAAGGAGAACATAAAATTATTCTATGACGATGGCAATTAAAGTTTTATTACTTTTAATATGAATTTAATTGAGAGTGATCTAAGGTAAATAAAAACAAAAAAATAATTGTAATAAATTTAATTTTTAAAAATAATTCAAATAAAATAAAATACAGGATACATGACAATTTTCAAGATCATCCATATGTAAATAATATAGAGCATCCACATTGAAAATTTTCCTTTTTTACTCATGGCTTTGACTTTTACATATACATACATACATACATATATATATATATATATATATGAATTTCTACAATGCAACTACAAATCAATGAGAAAGAAACATCCCATTCCAGTCGTACTGCACTGATGCAGTGAATAACAATCAGAACTGATGTTTTCAAGTAGAAACTAGTACCATACGATAGGAATACTACAACAGCACATTTAATTATATGATATGATCACTAAGGACCCTAGCTGGTGCTAAACTTATCACCTTTTGTGATGCCCAATAGAACATCAGTTCTATATGATCACTAAGTACCCGAACATGTGCCCTAAATTGAACATACTTAGGGATTTTGATTTTAGTTGTCTGATTCAAAGAATCGCATTTGATGACCAATACATATAGAATGATAGGGGTAAATAAGATCCTCAAATTATAAATAAAATGAACAACATTCATATAATCACTCTCAAAAGGGACATATAATACGGTTAATCAGCCTTGTTTAGGATTAAGTAGAACCAGATTAGAGAGGATCAAGCAGTTTAGCTCTGTAGGTCATTTGGTCCACCTTAGTGATGAAAACTTTAATCAGAGGAATATATGAACCAAAAAGCATACATGAGGAACATATCCACAAGTTTTCGGCTGAAGGGAGGAGTAAATATGGTCAAACATCCATCCACAATATTTCTGTTAGACTCCAGAGTAAGAGGAACATGAAAGGTTCAGAAGCATCATCTATATTACATACAAATTATATTGTGGTCATGTGGGCAAAGAAAAAGTATTCACTACAGGCTTGCAACGAAGTCTGACACTGTAAACAGCATGTCGAGAAGAGTTAAGTCTAATTACCAGTTGACAAGTCAATATATGTTCTAAAACCTTTTATTCACGGTTCCTTGCATAGACAATAGTTTTTAGGAGGGCCAGAAAAGCCACATACAAATGATTAAACAGCATAGAAAAATGCTTTTACTAGACTTATCATGCAGGCACGGCAAAACTCTCCTGCATCCATTGCGGCATATCCACCACTGCACATGGATCTGATTTCTCAAAGTCAGCGACCTGCAAGAAATACCAGCAAACAAAAAAAAAATGCTTAGAATGAAGGCAAATAATGATTGAGTGGAGACTCCTAACACCATTAAAGATTTGGAATTTCTATCTTGAGGTTCAGGTTCGATCTTGGGGAGAAGAAGTAAAGTATAAGATGGGTTAGAGCTTCCTTCTTTTATATCGATCAACCAAAATTTACTTCCACATGCACATAGAAAAATCAAAGGAGCGGACAAAAAGAAAAACAAACAAATTGAGACTCACCTTTTCGTTGCATTTTGGGCAATAATGATACTTATGCCAAAGGCAGTCCATTGAAGGGCAAAGAAAGCAGATTCCAAGCATAAAGGGCATCATGCATCCAACAACCGCTGCCAGACTAGGTTTAGATCTGAATTACATATCGGAATTTAAAGGTTTAATGGAGGATGACAATAATATAATCTTAATCACATTAAACTGAATGTAGCATATACCAAGAAGGAAAAACAGAAAAACTAGCCGTTGCATCCTGTTGGAGAAATGGCATATTTTTCTCCGTTGGTACACAATGAACAATGAATTAAAAATCAGGGACTATAGTATAACAAATTTCGCAGCCAAAACAGGACCCCGGAGAAGGCTATTCATTAGAATCGGTCCTCACAATAAGCATAAACAATAAACACCCACAGACACATCCAAAGAATACAAGTAAATAATGACCCAAAAGTTTATTTCCCTTTTCAAGGCACATAACTAACACAAAATCCGACACCTTAACTCGACCACCACGAAGTCGCCCAATTTAAAGAAAACAGATCATATTATAGGAATAGTTGGGAATAAAAAGCAACGGTAAATTACCTGACGGTGGTGAGTCCGGAATTACCACAGTAAGGGCAGTTAAACGGAGCAGGGGTATCCCGATACATGGTTTGCTGAATCGGAATTCCCTTTGGATCACCGTATATGGCGTTCGGTGGTATCATCCCCGCCTGGTACGGATTCATCCCAACATAGTATGGGACTCCGACCACCGGCTGCTCCGTCTTCGACATTCTATTTTTTTTTTTTGTGGGGGGGGGGGTAGGGGTTCGATTGGCGATCTCGGGAAAAAAAATATGTTCGATGCAAGAGAGAGCTTGGAAAATTGTTATGAAAGTACACAAATAAATCTTATGGGTATTTTATAGTATGACGAAAGCCTCGTTTGAGGTTGCGGATAAGCATTGGTTTGGTGAAGCGAAGTTACTTGGAAAGTGGGAAAATTTTCCTATTAGAAAACATCGTCAATGCGCAGCTATCTGATATTTCTAAATCGACCCCTTTCTAGATGGCACTTTTTTTCCAACGCAAGGTATTGAGATCCTGATGAAAGCATTTTTATTTTTATTTTTATTTTTATTTTTTACAAATAAGCAAAAAAAAAAAAGTTTCACATCGGCTTCATCTCTCCTAATTTTCTCCTTTTTTTTTTTTTTCCTTTCTAAAAGAATTAAAAGAATGCACTTTTCTTTCCTGCTTGAAAGCAGTAAGTAGCAAATTTTACCCTTTCCCCGTATTCTTATTCTTTCAATCTTCACTCTTCTGTTTCCCATATTTTTTTCAACACCGAAAGCTTCGTTTTTTTTTTCTTTCTCTAATTATCACCAATTGTGATAACATAAATATAATACTACAATCTTTCGTCATTTTTTCCTGTTCTATGATTAAAATTTTTTAGTTTGTTTTTACAAATATGGGTTCCATTTTATGAAATACAGACACTTCTAAACCTCTCATATAATCTTTTTGCATCTATATTTGAATTTTGACACTTGCAACATGTTGAAATGCATACTGAACTTAGCCAGATATGACAAAAATGAAGAAAAAAAATAATTCTCATGTGGATAATTACATCATATGTTATTTTATTGTTGTGTCTATAACTAATTTTTTCCACAAGGAAAAATACCTTTTAAAAATCAGCCCAATATCTACCATCTATTGTTTAAGTAATGATTATAATGTGTAAAAAATTTATTATTGTGTCTTGTTCTGTCTAGGTCTTCATTTTTTTAAAATTATCGTGTCATCGTGTGTTCGAATTGTGTTATGCCCATGTTATGTGTTCATATCCGTGCTTCATAGGTTCCATTCTTTTGCCAATTATCAAACCTTGAATTGAATGTGAAATATAGCCCCAAAGAGTTGGCAAGGATCAGGAACTTTAAGCCATCGATGTTTTGTTTCATAAAAATTCTAAGTCATGATTAAATGCAACAATATAGGCTTAAGAATTGAAGTAGCAATTGAATCATGAGGTAGTGAAAGATCCTAGTGTAACGAGAAATTCGTTAAAAAGGGTTAATGGGCATTAAGTCTAAAGGGCAAACTTGTCCTTTCATTGTACAGAATGAGTCAACAAAGTGGAAGGGGGTTTGCGACATTTGTTCAAGGTTAAGTGGCACGCTAGCTGTATTCCACGGAGCTAACTTAAGCATTGTTAGGACAATGTTTCAATTGATGAATAGGAGTGTAAATGATACATTAGTACTCGCAAACTATTCGGATTTGTTTTGAATAAAATTTAAATTCGGTTTGATTATTATCAAGTCAAGCTCGAGCTCGAGTAGCTCAAATTATCGATCGAGCCGAATTCGAGTAACTTACGAGCTTAATCGAGCTTTTATATTTAAATATATTTTTATTATTTTAATTTATAAAATATCTCAAATTCGAGTTCGAGCTTGAGCACAAATAATCGAACTCTTGTCGAGCATACGAATCGAGCTTTTTTTTATATATTAATCGAGCGAGCTTGAGTAGTTTGATTTCGATCACGAATCGAGCTCGAGCTAGAAAAATGAAACTCGATCGAGTTCAAGTCGAGTATCAAGCTGTGAGTTGGGAGTCGAGCTCAAGCTCAAGCTTCTCACTGTATAACTCAACTCGCTCGATTATACCCTTATTGATGAACACGTGACCATGCTGGCGTGTCCCGAAGCCATTGGAGGAATGCTTTCCATGTTAGCACAACCTATCTGCATATCAGCCACCAGTCTACTCGATTGGGGTTTTTCTGATTTGACCATTCTCTTAAAAGTATAAATACCATATTTCCTTTCTAGGTAAAAAGATCCATCCATAATATCTATCTTAGTATTCCTTTCTTTTCACCTTGTATCTTTCATTTTTCTCTTCTTCCTCTAGCACTGACTTGAGCATCAAAATAAAATGTTGAATGTAAAATAGTGTGATAATGCTAAAAGATTATGCATATCAACATCAACCACATTGAACCCACTATCATTGCTTTATACCTTCATGCATAGGGGATAGACGTGCTAGACCCCTTCACCTAGCCCTGGTCAAAATGAAATTTGTACTAGTAGCTGTAGATTATTTCACTAATGGTTAGAAAGTAAAAGTCTTGGTGACACCATGGGAAACCTTAGTTGAGAAATTCTTTTAGAACACATTGTTCGCAGATATAGCCTACCTCAGTTGTTATTATAAATAACGGCAAGCAATTTGACAATCCAAGGTTTAAAGAATGGTGTAAGAACGTTGGCTTAGACTTACGGTTCACCCGGTAGCTTCACCCACAAGCAATTGGGTAGGCAGAATCCACTAATAAAAGTATTGTGGAAGCACTAAAAAAGTTGGACAAAGCTAAGGGCAAGTGGGTTTAAGAATTATCGAGGTATAGTCGGCACTTAAAACAATGAATAAGATGCCGATAAGAAAACTTCTTTCAATTTGCCATTTGAAATCAAGGTAGCTATGCTAATAGAGACCAGTTTACCTTTAGGTGGACATAGCTGATGCCCAAGGTAATGATCTTGCTGGGGGGCCAACTTGGATTTAGTTGAGGAAATAAGAAACAATTCCCTAGTTAGGATAGCCACATACCAAAAAAAGAACTCAAACAACTACATCAAGAAAGTCAAGAGAAAAAAAATCAAAAAGGGCGATCTAGTCCTCATGAAAGTTAAGGTTTTTGGGAGAGATGGACAAGGGAAAAATTGGTGCCCAACTAGGATAGCACATACATTATCAAAGAGGTCATTGAAATATGAAGCCTTTAAGCTATAAGATCTTCATGAAACTCATTTTTCGGACTTGGAATGTTAATAATCTAAAAGTGTATTACCAATAAGTAGCAATTGACCACTATAATGACCAATTCTTTGTGAATATTATCAAACATGTATTAAACGATGTCAAATTTATTTATCGATCTAAAACTTAGGACATGCTCAAATTTGTTTATTGAAATGAGGTAGAATTAAAAGTTTAGACAAGCTAGAATTTGAAAGTTTTCTTTATTTATAGCATTAAGTTATTATATAGGACAAAATTATAAGTAACCCTAAGAAACTAATTATAGAGGTCATTTTCTTAGGTCTGCTCAATGGTAGTATTATCCTAGGTATGCACTTATCCTCTTCTTGCTTAGACACTGCCATAGTAGGTATTGCGTTAATAGTTGGTCTCATCTTTAAATTTTGAAGGGAAATGTCAAAAAAGTACAAACTGGGAAACTTAAACTTAGCTTCCTTCACCCTTAGCTTGAAGGCATCAAGCCTTTGATCTCGACAAGTCTTAATCATGATCTGCTTAAACTCTAAAGTTTTAGGGAATTTATATATGGCTTCTTTAACAATTGCTTCAATGGCAATTTTCTTAGTAAGCTTGACTAACTCAACCTCCTCTTGTAGATCTTTGTTCTTAGGTTATGCATTGGCTAAAATAAACTTGAGCTTACCGACTCGAGCTAGCATGTCATTGTATTTCTTTAAGATCTCATCATCATTTGAGGCCACGTCTCTAGTTGTATAAAAGAGGCCAAAGAATTATGAAGAATCTTGTTCTCGCAATTGAGGACCATGATATCTTATTCTAGTCTAACCACATGAACTAGAAATGAGTATGATATCAAAATGGTTTCACTAATGTTGTTGTAAAGAGACTTCGATAAAGCATTATAGTTTGTGATGAAAAAGTTAAACAATTAATAGAAAAGACAAAAGATAAAAAAGAAAACAAGAGAAAAGAAGTGCCGAGCTCAAACTTACCTTTCTTAACAATAATATTCTTAGCAATCTTCTTTGCCAACTTAGGATTAACAAGAACTTGGTCATCTTTATGAAGGTCCACTATTAACAAATAATTATCCTCATTCATAGCTCATCGAGAATGGTAACTAGAACAAGTTTAGGAGTATCTTGGTCCTCAACTGATCATGGTCTTTGGGCAAATCGATGCACCTGCTCCTCGAAAGTGGTAGCTCTCTCTTTCTAGATGGCCATGGCTACCAAAGACTTACCATTGATTGCTGGCCATTACTTAGATGTCGATTTGTAAAGGAGAGCAGAAACATAGAAGTCTTACCCTTACCTTCATCAGAAGGTCGTGTAAAGAGACGAATGTTAAAAAGTATTTTACTTAGGTTGAGAATTAGGATCGACCGGTTTGTTATTGCTAGCCATCACTAAAAAACATACTAAGCTAAAAGTTAGACATCATAATATAAAAAGAACATATAAATGAGAATTAGCACTAAGGTGACTATTAGAAGGTTACCTCCAAACCTCAACTTGGTCAAAACACTTTTAGAGGTTAAGCTACTGGCGTTAATGAGTAGCTTACTGTATTACCTCAGGGTATTATTGGCATCAAAATATGGAAGCTTGATTATTGTTTTTTATATCTCTTGTAAGTGCACAGATCGCATTAAGTAATAATAGTAAGTAAGTAAAGTATCATTTCCATGAAGATTATATATTATGATTATTGGGTGCAAAACCAAATACCAAAAGAGTTTTTTCTAGACTTTATATTTAGATGATCAAAAGAGTGAGAGGTTGAAATATAAAAGTAATGAAATTATAAAGACTAAAAATTTGATTACCGAATGCCAAGCTATCCAATTGTCACTTGGTAGCTCTAAAGGTAAGCCGATTGTACAAGAAAACAAAGTCAAATGGAAAATTTGTAAAAATTTAGTAATTGGCTGAATATAAAAAGAGCATAAAAGATAAAGTTGAATCTTGAACAAAAAAGAAAAGTGTGCATACAAAGTGAATAAAGAAAGCTTTGAATGAAAATAGA